CCTTCGGACTAATCTTTTCCTTGTATCCTGTTCTCTTCATTCTCCCTTGCTCCTGAAGGGATGAGACCAGTGGAGTATCTTAGATGGCCTCTCACAGGCTTTTAAGACCCCAGATAACTACTCACCAAGGTAGAATGTAGAACATTGTCTTTATAAACTGTGTTATCTGTGAATTTTTTAAGTTAACAAAAGGAACATGTTTCCGCACTGGAGTATTTTTTGGTCTATTGATTTGTTCATGTGTTAAATGAATGTCTTTTGAGCATCTTCAATGGGCCAGGTACCATTGTCAGCTCTCAGGATACAGACATGAACAAGATAGGTACAGTCCTCAGGGAGCCTGCATTCTTGTCAGGGAGACAAGCACGTAAATATATCAATTAATAAGACCGTTTCAGATGCTGGAAAATACTGTAGTTAGTGGTAAGGTGAAGAAAGGATAGCCCAGTTTTGTTGTTTTTTAATTTTTAACAGCTTTATTGAAGTGTAAGTCACATATCATGCAATTCACCCATTTAAAGTACAATTCAGTGTTTTTTAGTATTTCACAGGGTTGTGCAACCATCACCACATTCTGATTTTAGACCATTTTCATCCCCCACCAAAGGAAACCCCATATCCGTTAGCAGTCACTCCTGCTACCCATCCACCCCTAGTCTTAGGCAACCACTAATCTATTTTCTGTCTCTATAGATTTGCCTATTCCGTATATTTCACATAAATAGAATCATACAATATGTGGTCTTTTGTGACTGGTTTCTTTCACTTAACGTCATGTTTTCAAGAGTCATCCATACTGTAGCGTGTATCAGTACCCCATTCCTTTTTACAACTGAATAATATTCCATGTATGAATATATCATGTTTACCCACCCCTTCATCAGTTGATGGACATTTAGGTTGTTTCCACTTTGGGGCCCTTATGAATAATACCATTATGGACATTTATGTACAAGTCATGTGAACATATATTTTCATTTCTCTTGAATATATACCTAGGAGTAGTATTTCTGGGTTGTATGAAAACTCTGTGTTTTAACCTTTTGAGAAACTGCCAGACTTTTTTCCAAAGCAGGTGTGCCATTTTACAATCCTATCAGCAATGTATGAGGGTTCCAGTTTCTCCACATCCTCACCAACACTTGTTATTGTCTGTCTTTTACATTAGTATAGCCATCCTAATGGGTGTAAGGTGGTATCTCATGGTGGTTTTGATTTGCATTTCCCTAATGGCAAATGTTGAACATCTTTTCATATGTTTATTGGCCATATATATTTGTTCTTGGAGAAATGTCTGTTCAAATATTTTGCCCATTTTTAATTGGATTGTTTGTCTTTTTATTATTGAGTTATAAAAGTTCATTATATATCCTAAATTCAAATCCCTTATCAGATATATGATTTGCAAATCTTTTCTTCTATTCTGTAGATTGTCTTTTCACTTTCTTGATGGTTTTATTTGAAGCATAAATGTTTTTAATTTTGATAAAGTCCAGTTTATTTTTTTCTTTTGTCACATGTGCTTTTGGTGTCATATCTAAGAAGTCTTTGCATAACCCAAGATCAGGAAGATTTACTATGTTTTCCTCTAAAAGTTTTGTAGTTTCATCTCGTAAATTTAGGTCTGTGGTGCATTTTGAGTTAATTTTTGTGTATGGTGTGAAGTAGGGGTACAGCTTCATCCTTTTGCATTTATCAAAAAAAATATCTTTCCCTATTATATTGTCTTGGCACCCTTGTTGAAAATCACTTGCCCATAAATGTGTGGGTTTATTTCTGGACTCTCTATTCCTTTCCATTTATCTGTATGTCTATGCCAGTACCACACTGTCTTAATTATTATAGCTTTACATTAAGTTTTGAAATTGGGAAGTGTTGAGTTTTCCCAACTTTGTTCTTTTTGTTCTTTTTCAAGATTGTCTTGGCTGTTTTGGGTCCCTTGCATTTCCGTATGAATTTTAGGATCAGTTTAATTTCTTAATTTAATTTTGATAGTGATTGCATTGAATCCATTTGGGGAGTATTGCCATCTTAACGATAGTTAAGTCCTTTGATCCGTGAACGTAGCATGTCTTTCTATTTATTTAGATCATCTTTATTTTCTTTCAGCAATGTTTTTGTAGTTTTTCAGTTTATAAGTCTTGCACATCTTTTGTTAAATTTATACCTAAGTATTGATCATGTCATCTACAAATAGAGATAGTTTTACTTCCTCCTTTCCAGTTTGCATGCCTTTTATTTCATTTTTTGGTCTAATTTTCCTGACTAGAACTTCCAGTACAATGTTGAAGAGAAGTGGTGAGAGTGGACACACTTGTCCTGTTCCTAATAGTAGGAGGAAAGCTTTCAGTCTTTCAGTATGGGCCAGGGCGTTTTGAACACCTTGGTTCTGCTTCAGTCTCCACTGCCATCTCTGGGACCTTGCCCATGTCACCTGTTGCACTTCCCTCAGCTGAAAAATGATGAGATTAATTCGAAAGGACCTTTCTTTCCAGTTTTGAAAGGACCTTTCTTTCCAGTTCTTACTTCCCTATGCCTCTGCAGTTTTTCTTTGGTATTCTTTTTTCTTGGGTAGTTCCCTTGAACATTTGTTAGATCATCATACGAAATTTATAAGTTTACTTGGAAATATTTGCAAGTTCTTTTCCATACCTATTTTGATTACCTTCGACTACCACAATTCTGAACAATCTAACCTAGAAGGAAATTTCAGAAATTGAGACATGCAAGAGAAATGTTTTAATGGATCCATATTTCCTTTCCTTTGAAACTCTGAGCGGCCAGGAAAAGAAATTGTTTTGGGAAGATTGCTCATTTCCACAAAAGGTCTGCGAACCACGGCTTCTCCCACTCCGCCCTCTGACAGTCGGTACCTTTTTGTTTTCAGACTCTCAGCGTTCTCATCTCTCCTCCTTCACCATGAAGCTGATGGACAAATTCCACTCTCCCAAAATCAAGAGAACGCCATCAAAGAAGGGAAAACCAGCTGAAGTGTCTGTGAAGGTTCCAGAGAAGCCTGTGAACAAAGTAAGCTGACTTTCTCTAGGTGTTTCTCCTGGTCTTTGCTTGCTTCCAGTGATATTAGTTTGTGCTAATTCTAAGTTATTTCCCTGGGGATTGAGCTTTCAGTACATAACACCTATTCCATAGAATTCCATGTTTCCAGACGGGGCCTTCAGCATCCTTGGGAAATATGAACCTTTAGGACGGTGAGTGTTAGTCATGTTAATCAGAGTCAAGCTCAATTGGCTAGAACAGTTCTCCTTTTCCAGATGTGTCATCCTCTGGGCATTTAAAATAGCTCACTGCATCATGTTCATACCCCAGGGTGCTGTCACCCTGCCCCAGAGATCCCATGTTGTCTTGGTGCACACGCACATACTGGGAATTTGTGGTGTCCGGATCATCCATCTCTCAGCTTTAAAGGGTCTGTGCTCTTAAACATGCAAAACCCTTGAAACCCAGCCAAAGATGTTCTCAAGCACTGGTAACCTCAACAGGGCAAGTCAAGCCAGATATGTTGAGACAGCTGTTGATTTTCATCAACCCCTCCCTTCAGCTTAAAACGGCCATTTCAAGCTCTGTAGGAATCCAGGTTTCCTCTCTTCCAGGAGGCAACAGACAGATTTCTACCAGAGGGCTACCCTATCCCCTTGGATCTGGAGCAGCAGGCAGTAGAATTTATGTCCACCAGTGCTGTGGCTTCCAGGTCTCAAAGGCAGAAGGTCAGTGTAACATTAAGAACAATTGGGTTTGCCTTGCCTTCTACTGCAGAATCCTGGTCCCATGGTTTTGGGGATGGAAACAATCTATTGCAGTATCTTTATGAGCAGATTGTTTGTTGGATGGGGTGGCAACTGTGGGATCAAGGGGCCTTGGATAAAAATAAAAGCAAGAGTTTCTCTAAGCCCTCATGGTCTTTGGAAAGAGCTCAGTACTCTATGGCGAAAGCTCAGGGATCCTTTCTGGCGTTGGTTTGGGTGTGCTGCTTGGGTCCAACAGGTTCCAGGAGGAAGTGGGTGAGTCTCATTTCTTACCTGTTCTTTCCTTGAATTGCTAAGATGGTCTGAATAGTTTAGAAGAAGAAAGGCTTTTAAAGGGTAAGATGCTCTTTTAGACATCTTTAGACATCTAGATCTAGCAAGACTCATGGAACATGGTGGGACTGCCACATAACCAGGTGCGGTCAGTGCTGAGACACCTTTTGTATTGCTTGTGTTGAGCCTTTTCTTAGCCCCATGCTAAGTGCTTTACGTGCATTATCTTGCTTATCCCCCTAACAACCCTCAGAGTCAGGAACTTATTTTGCAGAAAAGGAAACTGAAGCTTTAGGGATTATTAAGCATTTGGCCAAACTCTTACAGCAAAAAGATGGGAAGCTGAGATTTGAACACAGTCCACTTGACATCAAAGTCTGAACTCTCATGATACTATATTTCCCCTTTATGAAAGCCTGGTGGTGCAGTGGTTAAGTGCTCAGCTGCTATCTGAAAGGTCATGGTTTGAGTCCACCAGCTACTCTACGGGAGAAAGATGTGGCAATCTGCTTCCGTAAAGATTACAGCCTTGGAAACCCTATGGGACAGTTCTGCTCTGTCCTATAGGGACACTGTGAGTCGGAATCAACTTGATGGCAACAGGTTTTTTTTTAGATTTGAAAGCCAGACTTTATTTTTTTAATATCTCACAAATCTAGATACTAATCCCAACTCTTAATTGTGCTAAAAATAAACATAGCAATACGAGTTAAAAAGAAGCCTTGTAGATAAATAGATCCTTAATCTTCTCGTGATTATACATAGCATAATGTATAGTACCATTGTTATAGCTGTTGATTTAATGCAGCTGGCAAACACTACCATGTTATATAACAAAGAATTCTTGACTTTTGCAGTGCATCTGTTTTTGTTTTGGTTTTTTTTTATGTTGACCAGCAAAATACCTTAAAACTCTAGTTAAAAGTGTAGGAAATAAAGGTTTTAGGTTCAAAACTCTTGTGTTCAGTAATTGTTTTTCCTGCCCCATCTGTTAGCAAAAGGAGCCTGAAGATCAAGAGTGAAATACTCAGTATTTGCCAGATTGATGTAAATTCCAGATTGCAAAAGAGTATTAAAGTGGAAGATTTGGTTTGTGCCACAATTTTTTTTTATTACAATCTGTTTAGCAGCCTTTTGGAACTGAATTTAATATTAAACTCCAGGAAGAGTGTTTCAGTTGTCATCTAACGCTAGTCCAGGCAGTCCAGATTAAAATGATTTACTGATGACTGTGTTCTGCTAGTGAACCCTGATGGAAAGCTGGTTCAGCCACTCAATTCTTAGATTTATTTTTCCCTTTTTTTTACGACCCCAAAAGAGGTCCTGAGGGAAGACTCAATGTGAAGTACTCTTCATTTAGTGGGAGTTCCTGCAAACTCCAGAGAACATTTGACAATGTCTGGAGATACTTGTGGTTGTCAGATCTAGGAGGTCAAGCAGGTACTGCTGGCATCTAGTGGGTAGAGACCATAAATACTGGTGAACATTCTGTGATGCACCAGGCAGCACCCCACTTCCCCCCGCCCCGACAGCAAAGAGTTATCCAACCCAGAATATCGATAGTGCTGAGATTGGAAAACCCTGCTCTATAGCAAGGAGCTGTAGGTGTGATCTTTACCCAACAAAGAATATTACCCCTCTTTTGGTCATCTCCCTTTAAGATTGAATTATTATGCTCTGCCTCAAGTCACCTGCATGGGACAAAGTGCATGCAAACCTGTTGCTGATAGCAGAGGCCCAAAGATAGGACTAGAAGTATTGGGGAATCTGCCAAGGTGTATGAACCTAGAAGACTACACCAGAGCAGTCTTACAATGTGTCTGTCATTTGCTATCATTAAGTATTTATTATTTACTAGCATGTATGTGGAGCCCTGGTGGTGAAGTGGTTAAGAGCTTGACTGCTATGCAAAAAGTTGGCAGTTGGAATCCACCAGTCGCTCCTTGGAAACCCTATGGGGCAGTTCTGCTCTGTCCTTTAGGGTCACTATGAGTCAAAAGTTGACTCAACAGCAATGGGGTTTTTTTTTTCTTTTTTTTCTTTTTGGTTAGCGTGTATGTAGCTTTCTTAACCATTTATAGCATATTCTCATTTTATCTCTGTTTATGTACGTGACTGTCCCTGTTTAAAGTCATGGGAAAGTGAAGTTCAGGTAGATAGAGGTACAGCTTCAGATTCATCTACTGCATGTTGAGGGCCTACTGTCTGTCCAGGCCCTGTTCAGGGATGGTTTCACAGATGCTATCTTATTGTTTATTCCCACTATACAGAGAGTTGTCTCTTGTCTTGGTTTTCTTAAAATCTCTGTTGTCTTTCTAGACTGGTTCTACTTAGATATATTTGTAGCCTCTTATGTCTTCACTTAAGTTTGAAAATTCAAAGTACTGTGTGGTGAATTTATAAACTCTTTTGCAACTTTTTAAAAAGCCTAACAGTGAGCTGTGAAGAGTTCTAAAGTAGCAGAGAAATGGAGCACAGGCTGAGAGTCAAAAAACCACAGTCCCAATATAACAGTTACGTTTGGTACTGTTCAAAAATGGTCTGAGTGGCCAGGGAGGTAGGAGTTCTCCGTCTCTGAGAGTACTTAGACAGAGGTTGGATCCTGGAGCTGTTGTTGAGTGAATTTGTGAAAGGGTTTCCCTTTTGACTCTCAGGGTGAAAGGAAGCCAGGGAAATGCTACTACAGGAGAGCCTGCATGCCCGGGCGGTGCTATGATATGCTAATTGTAACTGATTTCTGTGTATTAGTCATGACTACTTACTAGGCCTTCCTGTTTTGATCCAGTGGAAGGGAATAAAGTTGCATTGCCTTAAATCCTGTGAGTCCAGTTTTTTATTACAGGTAGTCCCTCACTTACAAAGGGGTTCTGTTCCAACATCTCTGTTGTAAGTCAGTTCTGATGTAAGTCAGATACCTCATTTTCTTTTAGTTTTCATTATTATTGCCTTTTATTATCAGTATCTTTATAAATCTGATCTTTATTTGTCTTTGGAGGTAGGCATGAGAATGATAACATCAACAGATTACACTCTGCAACATTTTAGTACATATTACTAACGATAAGATGTACAAAAAAAACAAAAAACAGATGGTCATAAGTGCAGTTCCTTGTAATTCAGATGCATCGTAGGTTCGGGAGTATCTATGTAGTAATTCCAATTGGTTTCTCCACAGGCTTAGCCCAAATTTGTGTGCTTCATATACTGTCCTGTAGTGTCGTGAATGAAACTTGAGTTATTGAGAGGAGAGGCATTAGGGATGCAGGTGGTGTCAAGGAAATGAAGGCCTAATTTGAGGGCATCTAGGATGCTGCTCTGCTGTGGAGAGAACTGTCTGAAGACCAGGGCCAGTTTTTCCCTCACTCCTCTTTCTCATCCAGAGCCCATCTGATGTAGCGGAATATAGCGGCAAAGCAGCAGCTCCAATGTCATGAAATGAGCTCACAGCAAGAGTCAGGAAAGCTGACTTTTTCTGTTCATCTTTGCCATTTGGGCCTTGTTTTACTCATTTGTAAAACGAGAGCCTTGGACCAGGTGCTCTGTAGTAAATTTCTTTACTTCCTCCAGTACATTTCTGATAAAACTTCTGCCTCTTTCCTCTCTCCCCTTCCCCCCACCAATACCACCTCTAATATCAACCAAACCAGGGCTTCCAGGAACCTGTTTGGTCTGGTTCGAACCCTTGGTGGGAATTTGCATTTCTAACAAATTCCCTGCTGAGAATTTGAATTTCTAACAAGTTCCCAGGAAGTTACACATAAAAATCACCTGGGGATTTTGTTAAAATGTTGATTCTGATTCAGTCTGTCTGAGGTGGAAATGAAAATCCTTAGCAGAGTTTGAAATAGGTTCGAAGCCCTGAACCAAACCAAGTTCAAATTCCAATTTTGTCACTTACAGCTGTGTAACCTTGGGCAATTTGCTTAAACGCACTCCCCCCCCCGTTTTCTCAGCCTTGAGAGTAGTGATAATAGTATCTATTTAATAGGGTGGTTGTAACCCTTAAATGAAATAGTATGGTAAAATACTTAGCACAGTGGGTAACTTAAAGTGTTCCATAAATGGTAGCTGTAATCTGGTCCAGGGGTTGATTATCCAATAGTCAAGGTAAGCATGGTGCTTACCTTGCTTACCAGATCATCTGTAGGGAACAGTTTCACATGTTGCTGTTGTTAGATGCCATTGGGTCATTCCAACTCATAGCGACTCTGTGTACAACAGAACAAAACACTGCCTGGTCCTGCGCCATCCTCACAGTCGTTTTTATGCTTGGGCCCATTGTTGCAGCCACTGTGTCAATCCATCTCATTGAGGGGCTTCCTCTTTTTCACTGATCCTCTACTTTACCAAGCATGATACCCTTCTCCAGGGACTGATCCCTCCTGATAACCTGTCCAAAGTATGTGAGATGAAGTCTCGACATCCTTGTTTCTAAGGAGCATTCTGGCTCTACTTCTTCCAAGACAGATTTGTTCGTTCTTTTGGTAGTCCGTGGTATAGTCAGTATTCTTCACCAACACCATAATTCAAAGGCATCAATTCTTCTTCTCTCTTCCTTACTCATTGTCTAGCTTTCACGTGCATATGAGGCAATTGAAAACACCATGGCTTGGGTCGGGTGCATCTTATCTTCAGGGTGACATCTTTGCTTTTCAACACTTTAAAGAGGTCTTTTGCAGCAGATTGGA